TTAATATCGGAAAGCCAAAGTCCTTTAATATCATTGAATCTATTTGTGAACCATGGTACTCCATTTCTTTTCTCCGTTTTGTAGTCAATCTATCCATCGTAGTTTTTGAGATGCTATAATTTAGTTCATATTTGGTGCTTTTTATTCCCCCATGCTCAGGATTAAGAACTAAGACATTTCGCTTAACTTTATCAGGCTTACCTCTCCAAATAAAGTTAAAACATTTCTTCCGGAATTTTTCAATTTTGTGTTTTGGTGGATCTGGCACTGAAGAAAATACATGATTTAATTTAGGCAGTAAGAGGAATATTATGACAGTGCTTCTGCCTAAACGGGTAAGGCTTCGGTTTCACCAAATGTTCATTTGGTTCGGTTCAATATAGGAAAAGTTGCATCGTAGTTTTTTCAACCATACTGTCAAGATCAATATCAAAATTAATTCCCAAAACTCGTTTGGGTCCTATCAAATTTCCATTCTTTGCAAAGTTTGCATCTAGATCGTTTCTTAGATCCCATCCAAATCAGTTTGGTCTTTTCTACATTTACTGTATTTAGTGTTGCATAAAGGCATTTTTCAGATCCATCTAAAGAGTAGTATCATCAGCAAACTGTGCAAGTAGGCACTGTTAAATTATCCATTTAATGTCACTATTGTTTTTCATAAAAATTCCTAAAACTTCTACACAAAGTATGAATAAATATGGGGCTATTGGGACACCTTGGCGACAGCCTCGTCCAAATTTTGAAAGAGTCTGAGGCGAAACCGTTCACAGATATACGTGATTCTATACCATTATACAAAGTTTTAATCCATTGTATATTACTTGGGCTAAAGTTGAAAAAATGCAAAACCTTTGTGAGATACGTTCTGTCAACTGAATCAAAGGCCTTTTCAAAGTCAATTAGCAATACCGGGAATTTGAAATGTTTTCGTATATTCCATAAAGTCATAAATCAATCTTGTAACCTCTCCAATATATCTGCCTGAAATGAAGCCTTTTTGATCCTCACTGATAATATTTGGTAGAACTCTTTTGATTTTATTTGCAATGGCTGATGAAGTATTTAAAAGGGAAATAGGTCACCCATTTGTAAGATATTGGTTTTGGTTTATTACCTTTTGGAATATAAGTTATCAATCCCTGAGTTTGCTTGAGAGATAAGTTTTCATTCTTATAACCAGCGTTTTGAGATTTTAGCAAAAATCACCCAAGTCTTTCCAGAAGAATTTAAAGTGCAAATGAGATTTTAGTCTTAATTACATCACCTTCCAGCGTAGAATATTCCTTGCCTGATAATTAAGATATTTTGACATCCTTAAAGTATTCATCAATATTGATGTAAGGTGTTGTAGTGTGTAAAGCTTTCCTCTCACTTAGGATGTCCTCAGCTTTACTACCAATTGTTCCATCATTTCTTTCTAGCTCTATAAAGGCTAAATTTAGGAATGTTCTAGATTCTAACTTCAGAATATATTTGGTAGGTTTCTCACCTTCACCAATCCATTTTGCACGATATCTTATCAGCATTCCCTGAACCTTTTGATTATATATTTCATCCAACTTAGATTTTGCCTCATTAATGACTCTCAGATATATCTTCCTTTTTATCTAGCTCATCTGCTTTGTCTAATTCTTTTTCCAACACCGTTTCCTTCTCTTTGTTTATTTTCTTGGATGAGTAATATATGGTTTTGCCCCTTATCCCCATAGTAAATGGTCATCAATAACATACTTATACCATCGTGACAATTTGCTCTGTATTGATCAAGGGAGGATTTGATGGTGTCTGTTATGAGTTTTATATATTTTCTACAAGTTAAGAGAGTTATTAAATTTCCAAAAACCTTTTTCCATGTGCAATGGTCGGAAGCTTGAGCGTTAATTCAGTAAGTGAATGATCTGAGTTGATGCTTGGATGAATTTCACACGTATCAACTGAGGGCATCAGATTATGGAAAAAGACTAACTTGTTTTAAAGGTGTAGGCTGGCGCCACGCATTTATTTTTGTTTCATAATTCATCTTCCGCCATGGGTCTTTAAGATCAAACATTTCCGAGAGATTTCCTTTAGATTTAGGATGCCTTATGCTTTTATAGTTATATGTGTCTTGTCTTTGATTGGGAACTGAGTTCCAATCGTCACATAAACAAATATTATCAATTGTTTGATTATATCTATGATAAGTTCACGTATACCCGGCTCATCTATATTTGGACCATAAATACTGATAATTTTATAGGATATTTCATTTGACATTATATTTAGAGCAACTAAGTTTCCTTCTGCATTAAAGGTCGCATCTAAAACTTTGAATTCAAAATTATTTTAAAGAAAAATCACTGTCACGTATGCATTATTTCTTATTAATAAGCATCTAGCATGCCATCCTTTGTATACCCATGGTTGTTTGATTAGTTGTTCTTAGTCTGGCGTAAATTGGACATCTTGAAGACAGTACATGTTACCATTTTACGGAGATATTGAAATACTGCTGTTCTTTTAACAACGTTGGTTGGGTTAGCCACTGAGTTTTGAGATATTATCTTTAGTTTCGGAGTCATAGTATACGTATTTCAAGTACAATATGAAATTCTTTAAGTGTATGGAAATAGAAGCTGATTGAATTATCTAGATGCGTCAAGTTGACGTTCAAGATTCGTACTGTTGTATGAAATATGCAAAACATTTGTTTACAAATACATGTTAAGGCCACTGTTTTTTGACAATAAAATAAATACAAAACTGTCACAAATTACCTGTGATTTCGATAACGAAAATGCATAGAGTGTTTGTTTCACTGAAATGCAGACACCCTCAAACAAAACACAATAGAAATATAATAATTTTCTTCCAATGATAAGGGAAATACAATCTTCCCCACGAATAACCCTCGGTCAAAAAAAGTCATATTGACTAGTAATCTGCAAATTCTATGACTATATATTGGCAAAAGAGGCACATTCATATAATTTACATCGATTTGACATCAGTGATAAACAAAGAGTTCTCCGTGCATGTATATGGCAGCACGTGCTGTTAATGCGCTGGGCGGACTGACACGTAACGTCGATGGAAACAGAACAAACATGAATGTTTTAGCATGTACTCAAACCGTTTGGATTATAAAGGACAATTGTGGCACAACAGGACATTTTTTTGTAGGAGGTTAGACAATATCTTAATTTGTTTTTATGCATGAACTCGATTTTATACCGGATGCTCCAATGAGGAAACATTTCCACAGATTGTCAATATACTAAACTTTTATAATACAAAGTATATCACATATACATTGTCACAGTATACTAGTTTATGAAATGTACTTCATAGACTTTGTGAATCGTGCCTTGTCACAGTATACTAATATATTGTAAATCGTGCATTGTCACAGTATACTAGTTAATGAAATGTACTTCATAGACTTGTGACTCGTGCATTGTAACAGTATACTAATATATCAAATATACTTCTTAGACGTTGTGAATCGTGCCTTGTCACAATATACTAATATATCAAATATACTTCATAGACGTTGTGAGTGCATTGTCATAGCATATTAATATATCAAATACACTTCATAGACGTTAAGAAAAGTGCATTGTCATATTAATATATCAAATACACTTCATAGAAAAGTGCATTGTCATAGTGCACTAATAGCATATTAATAATGGCATCATTGATGTAGATCTCAGGATACTTATAAACTAAATGCGCGTCATAAACTTATTTAAATAGTATTGTCTCTGACTATGACCGTAAATCATATGCTGACTTGCACTAGTAGAAACATTATGTAGTATGCGATAGTGATCTAGAACATTGTCAAAGCATATCATAGCATACTGTTAGGATCAAGGATGAAGTCCACTGTTAGATATAAGGCGGGTTCATATACCCCGTTAACATAGCGCGCTTCTGCCGGGGAAAAAGTGTTCGCTCGAGTTCTAGTATATGGTCAAGCCCCACTTGTCTTAAACGGGTCTGTACCTTCTCCTTAGAGAATATGTCCCGCGACATGCGATATAATATTGCGCTCTGCTTTTTTAGTTTCGAGGGGAGGTCTGTGCGAATAGACGCCCCTGTCCCTTTTTGACACGTGGCTGATTTCATTGAGAAAATTGAAATCGTCCCCTATGTCAAACAGCCATATGGCAGATTTTTTGTCACTCTAAATCTTAATGCATAGATCTAAATATAAAACAGTTGAGGCGGTCGCACGTGTCTCCTTAATTTCAAGTTCAGGAGGGTAAATGTTTGACAAGTTGCCATGAACCTCTGAAAATGAATATATAGGTGTATACCACGTTTATTTACAAATGTTCCATTTCACAAGGAATGACGTTTTCCCTTACGTGTGTCATGTAGGATAGAGGTGTACAACGTTGAGAAACACCAAATGGTTAGTCAGAACTGAACTTGGTCCGTTTCTGAGATTATAAACGTTATAGCAAATCCTTTAGACTCCACATGGTATTATATCCGCTTTTATCAAATACTTTCTGTGGGCATACAGAAAATCCATCCTTGGTAGTATTAATTAGGGCTCCTTGCCATTAGGCAGGAGACCTATTGTAATCGTTCGTGTTTTTATTATTATTATTATTATTATTATTTATTCTTCCGCCGTATTTTGTACCAGAGCTACAGAGAGCACCGCTGGACAGAATGCCTTGAAAAAAAATCACCCAGATGCCCACCGAGGTGTACATATCGCGCTTTAAAATCTCTAGGCTGTAGGCCCAATAGCAAAGGGCAGATAATTCAAAATTAATTCAAAAATTTCAAATGCAAATGCAAATATCTCCAAAACTAATGCTCCAATGTGTGCCAAAGTTCTTGAGCAGATGCGCAATCAAAATGCCTACAATTTCGCCTGGACGGCTCAAGTCGCTAAAATGCACCGTTTGGCCGCTATTTTGGATTGAAGTTTTTGGTGATGTTTTTCAGCAAAATGCTGACTACTTTCCTCCCAAAATGTGCTGCACTGAAACTTCAAGAGCTACGGCTTTCAAACTTTGCATACTTTGTGTCTATGCACCTTACTACACAGTAGCATCGTCAAATGTGGCTATGTGTATTTGATGGCCGCCATGTTGGACGCTACTTCTGGGCAAAAGTTGTCTTCAAAAACTTTCACGGGCTTCTTTGCCATTTTGTGCCAAACCAAACTTAGCACATACAACACTTTAAACGCTTGTTCTGAAGTGGCCTTTGGTTGTTGAACATTTTCTGTTCTTGGTCCTATGTCAAAAGTCACGTGATGCGGCGGCCATATTGGATTGAAGATGTTTATCGGAAATGTGCAGATTTTGTAGGGTAGGCATTTTTCGCAATCCTTAACTCTGAATGTATGAAGTGTAGAACGCTGTAAATGAGCAGATGTACAATATATACCTCAAATATTATTGCCCATAAGCTATGTTGCGATATCGTGATTAGTTACGGATATCTAGATGTTTGCTTCTGTTGTGTATTTTGTACTAAAATGTATTTTCAAAAAATCGCAGCGTCATAACTATTTCAACTATGCAGCTAGAATCTGGCAGTACGTAGTAACTAAGTGTGTTAAACATTTTTTGTTCTTGGGTGCATGTCAAAATGTGTATTGCTTGGCGGCCATATTGGATTTCGTCAGATTCTGATGATACTACATTCTAAACAGCATAGCTGCTCAAGTTCTGCACAGAAGGCAGTAAAACTTGGCAGTATGCATCAACAGAAGATGCTTAACATTTCGTGTTCTTACATGCATATCAAAAGTGTGATCGTTTGTCGGCCATATGGCATTGAAAATTGCACAAATGCAGGGAAAAGGGAAAAAAACTGTTTGAGACGTGCCCCAAATGAAAGAAAAAGAGTACCAAACAAACTCACCCACAACTCCAGGCTGAACACGCTAAATATGACGCAAACAGACTTTCAACAACGTACCAGTCATCATAAATAATGCTTACATTCAAAAACCCAAAGTTTGGGCAGATTTAACGAAATAGGGACTTCTTTATATCGCCGACGGCCCAGGGATACATTGCCGAATGTATCATAAGTTTCATCGACATTTACAGCACGGCAGATTACCCGTGCAAAACATGCGACAGTCTGAAGGAAGGCGCAAGGACGATATCTCCTATAGAGAGACTACCACTGCGAAGCGTGGTCCACGTGCAGATATGGGAGACGATGTCAATTTCAATTGACAATGACGAGAGCTAGCGCTACACAAAGTTAAAATACACTGCAGTAGAGGTGCTTTTAGCTGGAAATTGTATCTACACTCACCCGAAAATAAACACCATTAACTATAACCTTTACTGCTTTCGACATCAGGTACCAAATGTTTAGAAGTTATCCAAGCTAAGGAGCCGTCAATGTTGCTCGCAACTTTAATTTATTATTGTTAATGTTAGATATAGGGATTAGGGGTTACATGTGCTGGACCCAGCAAGGGCCCAAGAATAGAAAAGTTCTCAGAAGAAAAGATCCTGTGTATCATTCTTATGTATTTGATGAGTGATTATCAATTCAATATATTGAGCGGTTCTGTTGAAGGCTTCGATGTGCCATCCCACACATATGGCAGCTTAAAAAATGTGTGCTGGTAGATATTGTGAGATTAATGATCCAAATAATTTTTTAAATTCTCACAAGAAATGAAATATTTATAGTTAATAAGTCTTTGAACCTACACATAGACGTACACTTGTTAAATATCTTCAAATTAAATAAACCTTTTCAATGTTGACGCTAAATACTCTTATAGAATCCACGCTGGCTCTCGGGAGGCGATGTTGATAGGTAAACAGGGTCGCACCATTTACCTTGCACTGAAACATGAAATGGAAGAGTTGATACATTTCAGCTACTAGCGGATAGGTGTATAGTTGTGGTTTCAGAGTGACTTGATATTTGGCAATATGAAGGCCTGCAAATCACGTAAGGTTATACAGGGAAATATCCACAAGTCTCACCATACATGCATACAGATAATTAGCCAAACAATTGTTTGTTTGGTTGATTCTAGCTTTACACCAAACTGTCCATATTCAAGTGTTATGCTTTCGATACGTAAATACACGTTGATACGCTGCTACCTATGCTTGATGCGTGAAAGTCCAAATTGCAAACAAACAAACAAACAAACAAACAAACATAGACTGATCATGCAATATTGCAGATGTGGTGGTAAATATCACTAACGAGAGATTTGTGATTTGACCTTGATTTGCTTTACAAATACTATTCCACTTCCCCATACTTGTCTAAAGTCAAGTATTGATTGAGAGTGTTTGGTTTGAGGTCAATGTAAATAGCAAGATAGTTTGATCTGGGAGGTACGACTCACATGGTGTTATGCAACCTGATTGTTCACCAGAGTGTCCTCAATCGTCACATACTTAGCCTGACATTAGAACCTCAAACAGGGTACTACTTCATCTATAACTTCAGTAAATGGTCATTTCCACAGGACAAAACATCTCGGAAATGACCCATAGTTTACTGAAACGTAGAGTTTCTTGATGACACTATGGCATGTAAAACACGTATCTGTTTAGGTTTGTTGGAAAGAAGCGAAAAATAGAAATCCAGGATTATATTTCTGAATGGGTGCAAGCATAGACACAGTCAAGATTTGGATATTATTCCAGACACATACCAGGTATTCTGTAGCAGTTGAAATTATGTCCATCGTAAACGTCTTCGTCATTTCAAACGGGAAAGGGGAAACCAAGTTAGTTTCTTGTCCATCATAGTGTGAGTTGTTACGAAAACTTCTCCGGGCAATCTGCTGGTCGATTATTACAGTGAGCCTCAGTAGGTAGTCGTCACTTGCAGTGACCAAGAAAACGCGAAACCTTCGTCGTGAAACAAAAACAGTTCATTACACAAATATAAAGTATCTGGTGCAGAGAATAGTCAATTACGATTATCCCCTTAAAAGGCACAATCGTTTCGAAAAGTATACATATCTCTGAAAATTCATTGGATGAGTGAGTATTGTTTAACGCTGCTTTTAGCAATATGCCATCAATACCATGGCGGCGATACCAGAAATAGGCTTCAGTCAAAAACTTCTGAACCCCACCGTCCGGTGAAATATTTTGACGATAAACCCGTGTGATATATACTTAAGCTTATTGATAGTGTCTCGACAGATGTCATATCCCCAGACATAATCACTGTAAGAAAGGTCCGGTTGTAATGTTACCAAGTGTACGTCAGATCTTGAGTTGATACCCATCTACACGTATTACACCGTATCACAAGAAAAAAAATGGTGATTTCCAAAAATTTCCAATTTGGAAATATCATATTTCCAAAAATTTCCAAAATTGGAAACATGATGTTTCCAAGGCTTGGAAATTTTTGGAAATTTAGGAAGAATTTTACCACTACTTCTTTCAGTTTCTCCTTTTCCCAAGGATCCCCATGAGTGTATAGACTGTGTATTCGTCCTCTTAGGAGTGTATTCGTCCTCCTATGCGATCAACTAGGAACCAATTCTATATATTAGTATAACCAGGGAGACTATAAGACGTTGTAGATTATCCCTGGTATAACTTCACTCGTCTGCATCTTTGATGTTCTAGGTGTTAAAAATTGATATTGACTGTCATGTTTGCCCTGATATGGCTAGCATTTTCCAAAATACCGTTTTAAGTGTATGTTTTACTTATTATCCACAGAAGTGCAAATAGTTTTGACTTGTCACGGTTTGCGTAAACATAAATTACATAGACCTACGTTACATCATTGATTAAATAAAAGTTTACCGGACCCACTGACTAACCGGACAGGGTTTATTACATGTCATAAAAGTGAACCCTTGCCAGGGAATAATAGGTTTATTGTAGTAGAATACATTCTTTAATGGTAACCTCTAATTAACACCTGTCACAAGGGATGGACCGGTAACCCCCCATTACCCCTACATGCCACTACCCCTACAGCTTATAACAACATAGTTCACGGTCTGTTGCACTGTTAATCCACTGCCCGTTACCTATTCCACACAATGGACTAATCCACATAAGAGACATAACAATACACAACTAAAAGGTTGAGAGAATGATTTTAATGAAAAGTGATCATCATTTGTCCTCATTAAGATTTTAATAAGAATTAACAATAATTCGTCATCATGATTCTTTGATGGACATTGATAATTAATTGTTAACATTCAATATTAACATAGTCATTTGTGTCAAGTGTTTCAGTCTATGAACATTCAGTGTTTCAATCTACTTGTGGGCTACCTCTCCGTGACAAAACAAACTCAACATAACACAGACCAGCCATGTTGATGCCATGTGAGTTTGTTGTCAACAGCTATATACTATACCGAACTATCTCAATTTACTTTCTCGTCTCACCTTCTCATTTCCCTCCACTTCTCAATGATACTGTGTATCTTTTATCATGGCACTAAAACAACTTAATTTCAACATTTAACAACCTACACATTATCCAATTTGTAAAATTGTTCTACTCACTACAGTTTATCTTTCATCATGAAACTAAAACAACTTTTAGCTAATCCCAAATTTCCTTGACACAAAACACTAAAGAACAGTGATCTTTATCTGTATACTCTATGAACTAATCTCTCTTTGGGTCAGTTCATTATGCCAGACAGGTAAATGCCGTGTGTTGTTTTAACTAATAGTAGGGGTACTGGGCTGTAGGGGTAATGGCATGTAGGGGTTATGGGATACAACCGATGGACCGTTTGGGTGGTTTATCATTGCGAAATCAACAGTCAAGACTGTTGTTTTAAGACTGTAGGCGAATAGAGAACAACCCATTTGGGTTTGTGGTCAGAGACGGTGTTATGCAGTTGGTGTATTCACGAAATATCATGAACTTGATAATAGATAATTGGTTATATTGTCCACAAACGGGCGGACTGAGGCAAAAAGAACCCAAATGAATTCCTTCTTAAAATCTTTATAGTGTAACTATTAATTTGGTCATATACAATAAAAGGTGACTAAATGTTTAATTTTAGATAACGTTAAATAATTTCTAGAGAAATCACTACATAAGTTCATATCACAGATGATTCCAGAGACAAATAGTTTATGAGATTCTAGTTTATGAAAAGCATTAAATTCCAAACAAGCCAATCTGTTCTCTAATGCTCAGGAATTATTACCACTTACATGAAAATAGTTTGAGATGTCGACTCAGGAAGCCGACCTTTCAATTTTTATAAGGCTCAGGACGTTGACAAGGGGTAGGCTTTGAAGTTTGTGTGTTATTTTAGCACATGGCTAATCTCATGTGACGTGTTATTATGAGCTGGTGGTTGATGGAAGTGAACACATCACACACGGAAGCCGACCATGTAAAAACATGATTAAAACAATCATATGATGAACACATTTAACAAGGCACTGATCCAGAGCAATTTCCGCGCACTGGTTGTTGCTTTTGTTATTGCTTTTCTCCCCTGAGCACCCGGATGATATCCCAGTATTTCAATGGATTCGTGACCTTTGCTGCGCCTTGCGCATGCGCAAATGATCGTATAGGTATAGATTGATCAACAAAATGAAATCTTTTTTACTCGATAATATTTCCATCTTCATTTTTATTATAGCAAATGAAAACAGTTTGAAGTTTAATCATCTGCCAGTGGTAAAACATCATGACTGAAAAATAAGGAAGTCAACGGGATGGCCGAAAAGTCGGGCCGGGCGGGGCCAAGGCGGGCCAAATCTATTATGGGCTAATAAACCCATTAACAAAAACAATGCCTACAATTAATCAATGCAACATACACTCATGATAATAATGATCAATCGGAAGCCACAAACGCGTACCATAATAACTTTATTACGAGTAAATCGGCTAAAACCCAGGAAGACGAGAAGCCTGTGAACTGGCTGACCTAGGTTACGTATATAAGTGGAATCGTTAAACGAAACGGGATTTAATACGTATAAATACTTCAGCCAATTCCGATACACATTTTCGTCGGCCCGAAAATGATTTTAGATCTATATCCAATCACATACCACCCCATAAATTCACTATTCATCGTATTTAAAGCATGCCCACATTTAAATGATACGATCTCTTCCCCACACTCTCAACATTATCTCGGCCACAATTTTCCGCCCGGCTTGGCTCGAGGCCGTCAGCAGCTTAAACGTAACACACGTATCTTGAAATGTGTTTAATTCCATAGATTGGTATGATATCTACCTAAATATCGCTTTGTAATGTTATAAAATGCAACATGTAAAGACAACTGCTCCGTTAAAGTGAAGCCCTTGTCTCACTTTTTTCAACATAGCCTCAGTCAAAAGTGTTTGGTCTCTCTTCAGGCCGACTTGGCCCGTGCTGTCAAAAACAACTTAAACCTCACACATTTACCCTGATTTGTGTTTATATCCATAGATTAGTATTATATCTACCGTCATTTCACTTCACAGAGTCTCAAAGCGTAGTATTTGAAGCAAACACCTTGCTCAAAGTGAAGCCCTATTTTCTATACATTCTCAACAAAGACACAGTATCACAAGCTTTCGGTCCGGCTTGGCCCGGGCGCTCAAACGCACCTTATACCTCACAGATGTATCTTGAAATGTGTTTAAATCCATAGATTAGTATTATTTCTACCTAAATATCAATGTGTGATGTAACAAAATGCCACATGTAAAGATAACCGGTTCATTAAATTGAAGCCCTTTCCTCTCTCCATTCAGAATATAGCCTCAATCAAAAGTGTTTAGTCTCTGTTCAGCCCGACTTGGCCCGTGCTGTCAAAACACCTTAAACCTCACACATGTATCTTGAAATGTGTTTAAATCCGTAGATTAGTATTATATCTACCTACATATCACTTCACAGAGTCTCAAAGCGTAGTATTTGAAATAAAAACGTTGCTGAAAGTGAAGCTCTCTTTTCTACATATTCTCAACAAACAGTATCACAAGCGTTCGGTACGCCTTGGCCCGGGTTCTCAAAACAACTTAAACCCCACGCATGTATTCTGATTTGTGTTTATTTCCATAGATTAGTATTATATCTACCTAAATATCAACGTGTGATGTTACAAAATGCCACATGTAAAGACAACTGCTCCGTTAAAGTGAAGCCCTTTTCTCTCTCCATTCACAATATAGTCTCAATCAAAAGTGTTTAGTCTCTCTTCAGCCCGACTTGGCCCGTGGTGTCAAAAACAACTTAAACCTCACACATGTATCTTGAAATGTGTTTAAATCCGTAGATTAGTATTATATCTACCTACATTTCACTTCACAGAGTCTCAAAGCGTAGTATTTGAAGCAAACACCTTGCTCAAAGTGAAGCCCTATTTTCTATACATTCTCAACAAAGACACAATATCACAAGCTTTCGGTCGGGCTTGGCCGGCGGCGCTCAAAACACCTTATACCTCACAGATGTATCTTGAAATGTGTTAAAATCCATAGATTGGTATTATATCTACCTAAATATCACCTTGTAATGTTATCAAATGCAACATGTAAAGATCAGATGATTTGAAAATAGGCTGCTACTGCCCAGCTCGGCCAGTTAGGCGAGACACTGTGGATTTAATGAAAACATACTTCTCCCACTTCTCTCTCTAATACTTCTATTGTCTGTATGCGTGTTCAGGAAAACAGGATTATCAGAAGAAGAAGAAGAAGAAACTATTTTCATTTTTGTGTCACGTTATACATAAAACATACATAAACTTTAAAACATTCCATAAAATATAACATCCGGCCATATGGCGTATGAGACACAAGGCACTATATTATATCTAAAACAGTATAGTAGTAAATAAAATATCACAGCTTTGTAAGCAACATTGGAGTGTGGTATATATATTTAATAACATGACTACAAACTGCGTTTACAAATGGTTACCAAGAAGAAAGAGTGTTATAATTTGTGTTTAACATGTTGTAGGGGCGGTGGGGTAGCCTAGTGGTTAAAGCGTTGGCTCGTCACGCCGAAGACCCGGGTTCGAATCCCCACATGCGCACAATGTGTGAAGCCCATTTCTGGTGTCCCCCGACGTGATGTTGCTGGAATATTGCTAAAAGCGGCGTAAAACCAAACTCTGTCAGTCAGTCAGTTTAACATGTTGTACCATAAGACTCTAAATATAACATCTGGCCTGTGAGACACAAGCCACTACATTCTACCTAAAACAGAATAGAATCTCACAATTCTCTAAGCAACAGTGGAGTGTGGTATATTTAATTACATGACTACAAAGTGCGTTTACGTCTATTAAACATTTAGTAAAGTAACTAATGCAGCTAAGGGTTTATTAATTTAACATTACCTAGCATATATTTGGCCTGGTCGGAAGGTGGCAAGAGAGAGAGATATAAAGGTTAATATTTAGTACATTTTCCCACAAATCATATCGTAAATCCGAATATAGTGGGCAGCTGACCAAAAGTGAACTCTCGTCTTCAATCGAATTGCCATGACAACATTTACAAATTCTATCGTCTAAAGGTGTTTTAGGGCGTGTAAATCTACCGACCTCTATTTCAAGGGTAGGTGCCACATCGTAACTTGCTAAGTGTACTGCGATGAGATCTAGGCAGAAGTTCAGTGACATATGGTTCAGCTGTTAATAGTTTCTTAAACTTTCTGTAAGTACGGAGTTTATTCGCGTTAGGTTTCCCTCGGTCGTTCCAAAGTTCTTTATTCCAGTCCTGACAATCTAATGATCGTATCCACAGTGAGGCGTAATAAAATTCCATTTTAGACATATTATATAGGTCAACCACGGGGAGATCCAATTTGTTAAGAATATTTACAACAATTTTATTCCAGGGTTTTGGAAAAGTATTAGACCATCTGCATACAGCACTAGGTATTCTCGGCTGCTCAGTAGAACACAGCTTACTCCAGAACCGCACAATTTCAATTTTTTGTTTAGAAAATGGAGTTGTCCAACCCATCTCTCCACGGACCGCTAGATTTGGAGTCTTACTGCCAACGCCCAGGAAGAATCTACAGGCCTTGTTTTGTACTGCATTTATACATTTGAATTGTTTTGTGCCCCATATGGCTGACCAATAGGATAAGATCGGCTGGACAAGGTTATTGTATGAAGTATTAAGACATTATAAGCCAAACCACCACAAGATCTGAATTTACACATGATAGCACCAAGTGCTCGTCTAGCCGATTTAGCGATTTCTTTAGCTGTAAACATCATATCAATGTTTTCCTGCAACCAAACGCCCAGATACTTATACGCACTGGTGTAGTCAATAGTAACATCACCAATTTTGAATACAACTTGTGATCTATTGAAACAACAGGGTCGGTAATGAACGACATTAGTTTTCTTCTGATTAATAGTTAAACGCCAACGTTTACACCAATTATCAACGCAATCTAACATCCGCTGTAGGGACAACTCGTCTCCTGCTATCAAAGCAATATCATCAGCGTACAGTATTGTACTCAACATAACTCCGTCAATGTTTACACCACAATTGAGAGCGTTGATTTTTCTGCTAGGTCATTAATGTAAATAGAAAACAAAGGCGGTGACATTACACAACCCTGCCTAACTCCGGAATTTACATTAATAAATCAGTGAAACAGTTGTTTTTACGGGCGTTAGAGTTATTGTACATAGATTGAACAGCATAAAGGAATTTCCCTTTGATTCCAAGTTTTAACAGTTTAAACCATAGACAATTTCTATCTACCTTATCAAACGCTTTCATTGCATCGATGAAGCACACAAAAGTAGGTTTCCCAGTTAGCTTTCTGTTATTGATTACTGAATATAGACTGTAAATATGTTCTTGAGTACTACGCTTGGATCGGAAGCCATTTTGTTCCTCAACCAATATATCATGTAATTCTAACCACTTTCTAAGTCTAGTATTAAGGATATCTGAGTATATTTTACATGGGACTGAAAGCAGTGAAATACCGCGATAACCCAATGGATCACGTGGGTCACCCTCGGGCTTCTTGATAGGATTTATAAAACTAGTACGCCAAATACCCGGGCACTTATTGTTTTCAAAACAAAATGTAAACAGTCTAAATAAAAGATCAATACATGTTTTACTTTTTAGAGCTTCAGCAGGTATACAGTCTGGACCGGCAGCCTTACCACGTTTAGCACGGGCAACCGCGTACTCAACCTCCGCCAGTGTTATAGGTTTATCTAGGTCACTGGTATCAAACGTCCGATCACTCGACCCGTGACCGTTGTCCATTTCATCCCGAACTCGCTGTAAGTGAGCCTCGTCAAAACCGGATTATCAGGAAAACAGGATTATCAGAAACGCTTGAAGTTTACAACATCCGGAACGGCATCTCCGAGTAACCTTTGGCAAAGCTCTCACAGTGAAAACAATGTTCTCCCGAGCCTGAGCTGGGCAACACAGTGTCATTGCCGTGGATGTGTTTTCATACTTTCGTATGTTCAAATTATATAACCATAACATCTCATACGGCAAGTCATTTTAGCTGATACTCTCTGATATTTATTAAATTACTGATATGTTCAATTCATGTCATGAATAGCTTCAGCCGGCTATCTATATCTGTATGAATTGATGTTTACACTGTGGAAACTGTACGGAGAACATCCTGTATTCTGAACCACTAAAAACCCCACCTCTTTCAAGCATTTCATGTCATATAATTGGGTGTAATATCTTCTGATATTAATTAAGTTAATTTTATGTGTAAAGCCTGCCATCTGTATCGGTACTAGTATTCATTTATGTTTATACTCTGAAACATGTACGGAGAACATCCCATACGCATCATATAACACGAGTGGAAGCATAAATAATTTTATATATATCTATTATATATTATATATACATCTGTGATAAACGTAATGAAGAAACGGTGGAGTAATCAATAACGCTGAAGGACCCTGAACGGCAATTAAGGGCAACAATGGAGTATGATAATTGAATCACAACACCTAGCTGATTCCAATTAGACAAGAGGCAATTAAGCAAGCTCGATACAGGTGTAATTTACAGGTGTATTAATTTCATTAGCCCGCACAGAGCCAGATCGAACACTGGGCTTTACTTAAAGCAACGCATTAGATTCAAATACATGTACAAAGCTTTGAGCCTAAATAAAGAGGTATTTAGGAAGATATAATACTAATCAATGGATTTAAACACATTTCAAGATACATCTGTGAGGTTTAAGGTGCGTTTGAGAGCGCGGGCCAAACCGGACCGAAAGCTTGTGATACTGTGTCTTTGTTGAGAATGTATAGAAAAAAGGACTTCACTTTAAGCAACGTGTTTGCTTCAAATACAACAATTTGAGACTCTATAAAGACGTTTTAGGTAGATATAATACAAATCTATAGATATAAACACATTTTAAGATACATGTGTGAGGTTTAGGTTGTTTTTCACAGCACGGGCCAAGTCGGGCTGAAGAGAGACTAAACACTTTTGATTGAGGCTATGTTGTGAATAGAGAGAAAACGGCTTCACTTTAACGAACCAGTTATCTTTACATGTGACATTTGTAAAATCACACATTGATATTTAGGTAGATATAATACTAATCTATGGAATTAAACACAAATCAGGACATATGTGTGGGGTTTAAGTTGTTTTTGAGAATCCGGGCCAAGCATGACTGTGATACTGTGTGGTTGTGTGGTTGTTGAGAATGTATAGAAAAATAAGGCTTCACTTTCAGCAACGTTTTTGCTTCAAATTCTACTCTTTGAGACTCTGTGAAGTGATATTTAGGTAGATATAATACTAATCTATTGATTTAAACACAAATCAGGGTAAATGTGTGAGGTTTAAAGGTGTTTTTTTGACAGCACGAAGGCCAAGTCGGGCTGAAGAGAGACTAAACACTTTTGATTGAGACTATACACAGCAAAATAACAGGGTTTCAGATTTCAGGAAACCTACATGAAACTGGGTAATGCCAGAATCATGTAGGTTTCTGCTCACGGAAAACTATGATTGTTTGTTTCCAGCAGTTTCCTGTTGCTGAAAACTAACACGGTTAGTTTCAGCGACCGAAAACTTCATTCGGAAACAACAAGGTTAGTTTCCAGAAATGAAACTGACAGTAATGTATCATTGTTAGTTTTCATTGCATAAAGCAACTGGAAACCACCATTGATGGTTTATATTAGTGAGAACTTGAATGAAACGTTCGTAGAAAAATATATTTGACTCCATATGCATATATCCAGAAACTTACATTAACCTACGTTAAACTGCCTATGTATTATATAGGGTTTAGTTTCGTGATGTCAGTGTTTCTTTACATCAGAATTCAAATAAAAGATATTGTCACATAAAATAAAATTAATTTCAGGAAAACGGAAACCTAATTGAAAGAATATGGAACCTGAAGATTATTTACGTTTTGTTTGGTAAACTTACGGAAAACTTAAATTTATAAGAGATTTGATGGTACATTTAAAAGCTATTTAAGCAGTGTAAATCAAATATAGTTTGCAACAACCACAAAAGTAGCGGATGATTTGGCCTATTTTCAGTGTACCATGGTTTCCTTTTTTTCTTTTGTGTGAACCATATGTTATCGACTTTATTCGTTTGATTAGTTTGTCATAGATACCTGTGGTGAGACAGACTTTGATCACGTTTTTGCAAACATCCGTTACCATAGCTATTTCACAGCAAGTCATATGTCTGCAAAATTGATAGTTGCGAATGAGATTACATTCAGTAATTGAGGACAGCAGTGTTTATCCACAGTTATCTAGAATATCTATGATAAACATTAGCCAAGTATGTTGTGAATGGAGAAAAGGGCTTCACTAGTTATCTTTACATGTAGCATTTTGTAACATCACACATTGATATTTAGGTAGATATAATACTAATCTATGGAATTAAACACAAATCAGGACATATGTGTGGGGTTTAATTTGTTTTGAGAGCCGGGCCAAACCGGACCGAAAGCATGACTGTGATACTGTGTGGTTGTTGAGAATGTATAGAAAAATAAGGGTTCACTTTAAGCAACGTGTTTGCTTCAAATACAACGCTTTGAGACTCTATAAAGACGTACTTAGGTAGATATGACTCTATTCTAGAGATATAGAGAGAAATCAGGATACATTTGTGAGGTTTAAGGTGTTTTTGACAGCACGGGCCAAGTCGGGCTGAACAGAGACTAAACACTTTTGATTGAGGCTATATTGTGAATGGAGAGAGAATAGGGCTTCACTTTAACGAACCAGTTGTCTTTACATGTTGCATTTTGTAACATCACGCATTGCTATTTAGGTAGATATAATACTAATCTATGGATTTAAACACAAATCAGGATACATCTTTGAGGTATAAGGTGCGTTTGAGCGCCCGGGCCATGCCGGACCAAAGACTTGTGATATTGTGTCTTTGTTGAGAAAATAGGACTTCACTTTGAGCAAGGTATTTGCTTCAAATACTACGCTTCTAGACTCTGTGAAGTGATATTTAGGTAGATATAATACTAATCTATGGATTTAAACACATTTCAAGATACATGTGTGAGGTTTAAGTTGTTTTTGACACCACGGGCCAAGTCGGACTGAACAGAGACTAAACACTTTTGATTGAGACTATGTTAAAAAATGAGAGACAAGGGCTTCACTTTAACGGAGCAGTTATCTTTACATGTGGCATTTTGTAACATCACACATTGATATTTAGGTAAATATAATACTAATCTATGGATATAAACACATTTCAAGATACATGTGTGAGTTTTTAGCTGTTTTTGACAGCACGGGCCAAGTCGGACTGAACAGAGACTAAACACTTTTGATTGAGGCTATATTGTGAATGGAGAGAGGAAAGGGCTTCACTTTAACGAACCAGTTATCTTTACATGTGGCATGTTATAACATCACATGGCGATATTTAGGTAGATTTAACACTAATCTATGGATATAAACGCATTTCAAGATACATGTGTGAGGTTTAGGGTGTTTTTGACAGCATGGGCCAAGTCTGGCTGAACAGAGACTAAACACTTTTGATTGAGACTATATTGAGAATGGAGAGAGGAAAGGGCTTCACTTTAACGGAACAGTTATCTTTACATGTGGCATTTTGTAACATCACATATTGATATTTAGGTAGATATAATACTAATCTATGGAATTAAACACAAATCAGGATGCATGTGTGAGTTTTAAGGTGTTTTTGACAGCCCGGGCCAAGTCGGGCTGAACAGAGACTCAACACTTTTGATTGAGACTATATTGTGAATGGAGAGAGAATAGGGCTTCACTTTAACGGAGCAGTTATCTTTACATGTTGCATTTTGTAACACCACACATTGATATTTAGGTAGATATATTACTAATCTATGAGGTTTAA